TTTTTTTAACTGGGAATCCCTTGATCTTCTGAACTCTGTGTGACGGTGTCCCTGCATTCCAGGTACTACGCGGTAATGGTCACCATGTTCTTCACCGTCAGCGTGGTGAACAACTACGCCCTGAACCTCAACATCGCCATGCCCCTGCATATGATATTCCGATCTGTGAGTCCCCCCGCCCCCACAGGGTGCTGGGCCGTGGGCTGAGCTCGTGACACAGGTGGAGGGGCGTGTGAGGGAGCAGGTCAGGGGAGGAGAGCTGGTGTGGCCTCCCTCAGACAGGTCAGGCACGGAGGGAGCCATGTGGAAATGGAGGGCTTGCTTTTATTTCTTTGATATCAGCTCACAAGTGATGCATACATGGAAAGTGAAAAATCCCCTGGAGGTAGAATTTACCTTTCACTTCTTCATCTGCTTGATGCCTGTGTTCACACTGACGCCTGTGTTCACACTGCCTGTTAATCCTCTTGAACTGCTTATCACGTACTTGTTTCTTCCATAACATTTCGTTTGCTGCTCATATATGGACGAGTTGCAGTTCTGATTTGATGTAAGCAGAGAGTCGGGAAAGCTTGAGGAACGCAGGATGTCTCCCACACTAGAGCTGCTCTCCACGGGCTTGTGTGAGGTGGGAAGTCTGTAAACAGGGGGAGCAGGGTGTGCCCTAAGGTGGTTGTAGTTGGCACCATGCACAGTGCGTGGTAACTGGAGTTATGTCCTCACTGTGTGTCTGAGAGAGGGAATTTCCGAGGCCGCTTACAATGACTAAGGTGGATGTCAAAGGATTGAAGACATGTTGTGTGCCATAGAGTTGAAACCAACCCATTGCAGACCTTCCTGTGTGTTTTCAGAGGCAGCTAAGCACATGGGAGGAGATTCCCCAACCTTCTCCCACATTGAAGGCGTAGTAGACTTTAATAAATACTGCTGGCTGACGGACATCCTCCAGAAATAGTTAGGTCCTTACACACCTTCCTTCACTAAAGCTAGAGATGGAAGCAGGAAGACCACTTACTAAAAGTTTTTACAATTAAGTAGATGAAAATTTGATTTTAAATAAAAAAATAGTACATAAATTACTCCTGCCAGTCCTAGCTTCAGCTAGGGCCAGTTATTGAAAATCGACAATTTTTATTCTCACCTAGTGGTGCGGTGTTGAAAACACTCAGCTGCTAACAGGACTGTTGGCATCCCAGTCCCAGCACAGGGGCGAGACGCAGCGGGCTGCCTCCGTGAAGACCGCACAATTGGATGTTCTGTGGCAGTTCTCCTCTGTCCTGTACAGTTGCTGTGGCTTAGAATCGGCTCAACCGCAATGAGTTTGTTTTGTTTATTCTCACTGCCACCTTGGAAAGGTTTTATTGGAAGGCCCTCTGCTAGCCTAGTGGGCAAGGAGTTAAGCTGCCAACCCAAAGGCATGCAGTTCGAATCCACCAGCTGCGCTGTGGAAAAAAAGATGGACAGTCTCCTCCCATTTGGTTTACAGCCTCTGAAAACTCGCATAGCTGGAAGGCCAGCTGTGGGTTGGTTCCAACTCGACAGCGCAGGACAGTATGTAGCTGATCAAAGCAAAACATATTGTTCTGGGGAACGTGTTTCTGGGAGCAGAAAGGAGTGGAGGGCGACCACGAGATTTACATTTGGTAGGAAAGAAATACATGTTAACAATAAAGTGTGTGTGTGTGTGTGTGTGTGTGTGTGTGTGTGTGTGTGTGTGTGTGAGAGATGCTCTCTTTTGCAGCATATATCTAAAATTGGAATGCTACAGAGAAGTTTTATTCATTTGCACGATAGATTTTTGTGGTCTATACTGTTTGTTACCTTACGAACAGTGCAGTTTTACCAATTCCACTGTTCGCAACCTTCTTTCCGCCTCTGGCCCTTCCAGCTGTGTGTGTGTTCTGATTCGTCTTGAGCCCTGTTACCTCTCCCCCTAGAGCACTAAGCCTACGTTCTTACCCTCGTCTTTACAGGGTTCTCTGATCGCCAACATGATTCTAGGAATTATCATTCTGAAGAAAAGGTACGTAAAGCACTTAGATATTTTGTGTAAGGAAATGCTGTCCTGAGCTGCTCACCTGGACTCCTTCTCTCATCATGAGGATAAGTTTGTTCTTGACCCTCTGCCTTTTTTCTCAGTTCTCTCTGTGATGAATGAGGCACATTTGTAAGGCGGCTGACCAGGTGAGAGGCCCCACCTGTGCCCTTGGTGGCACTTTCTTAGCAGAGAGCTGACCAGCTCCTGTCATCACCATGCTTCAGGTGTGGTAGCCACCAGCTGTGTGCAACTATGTATATTTAAATTCTTTAAAGAAATAGTTTCTTAGCCTCACCAGTCCCACTTTAAAAGTTTGTCCCCATCCATGGCAAGTGGGTGCCATATTGAAGAATCCAGATAAGAGAGTTTCCAACATCACAGAATTTCTCTTGGGCATTTTGTCAAAAAAGGAATTTGTCAGAGCAATGGAATCTTAACTGGAATCTACAATCTGCAGAGTATTATAAAGAAAATGCCTTCATTATGTGTGAAAAATACCTAAAATAAGTGTGGGAACCCTGCTTCTGTGCCTGTGGTTCTGTTCTCATTTGGGACCGATTTGTCTTTATTATGTTAATGTGGTAGAATTTGTGTAAGGTGTGTCTTTAATCAGTCTCTTTTGAGATTTAAAAGTGATTAAACTAGGAGAGCTCTGGTGGCCTAGTGGCAAGAAGCTGCACTGCAATCCCAGAGGTGCACGGTTCAAATCAACCAGATGCTCTGCCGGGAAAGGAGGGACTATCTCCTCCTGTACCAGTCAGATCCGATTTGACGGTACGCGCACACACACACGCAAAACAATAAAATAATAAAAAAAATGTAAAAAAAAAAGTGATTAAACCAATGAGCAGAGGAGACATGGGGTAAGAGAAGTGCTAAAATGGACTTGGAGACCTCCCAGGGACCAGGAAACCAGAAACTGTGAAGAGACAAGGGCCTCTTCCACACCAACAGAGAGAGAACAGGGCCCCGACAGCTGGTGCTCTGCGTTTGCACTTCTGGCCTCCTGATGCCTTTGAGCTGTGGTGTTGGAGCAGAGTACTGAAAAGAACCAACAGGTATATCTTAGAGAAAGTGCAGCCAGTGTGCTCCTCGGAGATAAGGGGGGAAGCTTCGTCTCACATACTCTGAGCATGTCACAGGAGAGGCGGTTCCTTGGACGGTGCTTTCACACTTGGAAAGGTGGAGGGTCAGAAAGAGGAAGACCATCAACCAGACGGATGGACACAGTGACTGCGGCCATGGGCTCACGTGTGACAGCGGTGAAGATGGCACAGGACAGGACAGGGTTCAGAGCTGTCGTTCACAGGGCCACTGTGAGTCCTACTTGACTCATTACCACCTAACAACAAAAATGTGACAAAATACATTTCTGTTTAGTAAAACCATCCACTGTGGATGAGGGGTAGGGCGTTGTGCTGCCAACCCAAAGACTCGCAGTTTGAATTCACCAGCTTCATGAGAGAAAGATGGAGACAGTCTCCTCCTGTGCGTTTTACTGACTGAAAATCCACCGGAAGGTCAGCTGTGAGTTGGTTCTGACTCGACGGTGCCTCACAGTAACAGATGACTAAGACATCCCAGTTATGGAGTAAGTGGCCAGGAAGTTAGGATGGAAGGATTCAGGAAAGTTCTCTGTGATTGTGTCACCACTGGCTCTCTCAGGAAACCCACCCCCAGTGAGTCAATTCCAGTCCACAGAGACCCTCCAGGGCGTTTCTGGGAGCACCAGCGTTCTGCCTCCGTAGGTCTGCCCGCCCTGGTGTCCTCAGTCTCCCTCTTCTCCGCCGAGGCCCGCTTAGCCCCTCTGTTTCACATACTTGACTGCCTGCGTCGGCCTTTCAGAAGATGCTGTGCCCAGATCTGCACAAAGCAACTGGGTAGAAAACTTTGAATGGTCTCATCCCGTAGTTTTCATTTCATTTCATTCTTGCCTGAGATCCGTTGTTTTGTCACCTGGAATCTGAGCTGGTCGCTCAGTACACTATTTTAGTGAACGGGAGGTACCACTGTTATTTTTGTCATACTTCCTTTTTGGGAGATGTTGTTGTGTACCGTTGACTCAGAACTGACCCAGAGCTGACCCTCCTGTGGGTTTTCAGAGGCAGTAAATTGCATGAGAGGACATTGTCCATCCTTCTCCCGTGGAGCAGCTGGTGGATTCGAACTGTGTGCCTTTGGATTAAAGCATAGCTTCTTACCACTAGGCCACCAGAGCTCCCTCTAAGTAGGATAGTTCTTCCTTTACCCGACTACAAGAGCCTTTAGAGACAACAGTGAAGTCATTTCATTCTGAGACTTCAGGGAAAAAAGCATCCACCCTCAGCTTCTACCCCGAAGATGGATGATTGAATTCCTTTGGAGTGTGAAGCCTTCCACTGTGATACTCTGCTCTTGCTCTGAGGTGGGTTGTCTCCTAGGACTCAGGCTGGGGCCCCTTAGAGTCAGGAACAGCGGTGGACTCCAGCTATGATCTGGTTCAGCCTTTGATTTTAGACGCTTAAGAACAAAATGGAATGTCATGTCGTCTCCATTTCTATTTCTTTCTTTTGAGGAAACAAGCTGTTAACAAAAAACCACAACAAACAAAACACAACACAACAAAACTATTGAGAAACTGCTTTGAAAGTCCACCCGGGAGGTGTGTGGTTTGGAGACCATTTGGCACCTTGGCGTGCTTTCCACAGCCTGGTGGGGAGAGGCTCTGCTGCCGTGTTGTAGAGATCTGTGCTCTTCGGCTCTGTGACCATCAGCCCCATTCAGATGGGCTTTGCTTCCCTGCGATGACTCACTCCTCTTTCTGCAGATACAGTGTGTTCAAGTACACCGCCATCGCCTTGGTCTCTGTGGGGATATTTATCTGTACTTTCATGTCAGCCAAGCAGGTGGTAAGAATCACCCCTTCTCCTTGCTGTTGGGGCCCAGGTCCTTCGTGATAACGTGACTGGGGACGCTTACACCGGGCGGTTCAGGCCTCACGAGCGGCGGGAAGCGGGTGGCACGTCTCCTTCCTAGCTGGGCGTCTCGTGAGTCATTCTGGTCTTTGGCCCTGGTGTTTCTCCTTCTTTCCTAGACTTCCCAGTCCAGCGTGAGCGACGACGACGGCTTCCAGGCGTTTGCGTGGTGGCTGCTAGGTGAGTACAGTAATTACCACAGAGCTAATTGCCTCTGCAGTTCTGTTTGCCGAGTTTTCTCCTCAGGGGCACGTTTCTTGGCAAGAAGCTTTGGCTAAACAAATTATCCGGTGGACGGGGAGGCCTCCTGGGGGCACGTGTCACTGAGCACACCGAGGTGTGCAAGAGTGAATAAAAGCAACTGTCTGGATTGGAGTCATCCATGTTTCCTTGGCCTGTCCCTCTGCGGGACTAGTGTGTGGGGTGGTGGCCGCTGTTCTGGGAGCTGACCAGAGGAGGAAGGGCTTGTTGGAGCCGTGGACCCTCCCATCTTCCACGGGTCCTATTTACAAAACTCAGAGTCATTTTCTTCATAGGTTTGCTGTCCCGTATGGCAGTGTGCCCAAACCTGACCAGTCCTCAGAAGCTCCTGGGGACTTTTAAAAATCCAGGTGTCCCTTTGAGGGGTTAACTGCACCCCACTGTAGAGCTCTGTTCCGTGTCGTGCAGCCCGAGAGGCCAAACGCTTTCCAGGCGTATACAGTTTTTCAGGCTGAAATGGCTTGAGACTTAACAGGTGAAGGTAGAAAGAGTGACCAGGGGTGTGCGTCCTCCTTGCAGGACGTGGCTCAGCAGCTTTCTCTGAGCACTGATGTTTGTACCATGAAGAGAACTCTGTGAGCTGCTAGGAAAATACTTCACCCAATAAGGACAATTTATAGAAGATCGGAGCTTATAGTTCATGAGGGAAAAATTAATACTCAGTGATTTTATGCTCAGCCTTACTCGAAGTGCAGATTGAAACAAAAAGGCAACGCCCTTGTATTTTTGGCCTATAATATTGGCAAGATAATAACGGATACTTCTCATGACTGCTGAGATTGCATTAACACAACTGTTCCCGTTCCCTCTGTTGGGGACAGGAATTGATGCAGCCTTTCGGGGGAGGGGAGGAATATGTATTGAGTTTTTAGAATGTTCATAACCTTTGACTCTGTAATTCCACTTTGGTGAGGTTAGCCAAGAGAGGATTTAATGTTTAAAGATTCATGTACAAGGACACGCATTGATTGTAGGAATGATGTCGTTGGCAGTACTCTCCCGTTCCCACAGAGGGGGACCTGTGGGGGTGGTGCATGCACGTAGAATGGTCCGCAGTTGCAAATTTACACTTGAAAGAAATATAACAGCATGAAAGTAAAGTCCAGGAAAAAAGTGGGGAAAGTAAAATGAATGATAAAGTTTCTTTCCACCAGGGCTCCCTTATTCTTTCTTCCTTTTTTTTTTTATTTATTATTTTTTATTACTCTCTATGTGTGTACCGTCAAATTGCATCTGACAGGTACAGGAGGAGATTGCCCCTCCTTCTCCAGCAGAGCATCTGGTGGATTTGAACTGCGTACCTCTGGGATTACAGTGCGGCTTCTTGCCACTAGGCCACCAGAGCTCCCTTCTGATTCTTTCTTAGTGTACAAATATATACGTAATTATATAGAGAGATACAGAGAATTCTAAAGGACTGAATGATGATACTGTGATTGAGGCTTATTTTTAAAACATTGCTCATGTTCTACGGCTGGTTTATGAAATTTGTTTAGTTTTCACAAATAACTCCTCTTTAGGACACAGGCACCTCATAACCTGCCGTTTGTTTTGCAGGTATCGGGGCTCTGACATTTGCCCTTCTGATGTCGGCGAGGATGGGCATATTCCAGGAGACCCTGTACAAACAGTTCGGGAAACACTCCAAGGAGGCATTGTTTTATAATGTGAGCCTGGGGAAGGTGAACCTTAATGACTGTAATATGGGATCTCCAATGAAATTTGCCGTCTTTCTGAGGTAGTTGAAGCACCAGTTTACTCGCAGCAAGCTGCCCTGGGACCATGGCTGAAGTTCTTCCAGTAGTGCACTCACGTTGCTGGGTGAGGAGCCGTGGTGGCAGGTGCACAGCTTGTCAGGTTGCTAACTGATAGGTCCGTGGTTCAAATCCGCCAACTGCTCCGCTGGAGACAGATGAGCTTGTCTCCTGCCATCAAGATTCACAGACTTGGAAACCCAAGGGAGGGTCCCTCAGGGTTGGAATCGACCTGATGGCAGTGAGTTTAATTAATGTTCCTAGGCAGTGCAGTTAATGCATGCCACTGCTGAGTGAAAGGTCGGAGGTTTGACTCCAGGCAAAGGTACCTCAGAAAAAAGGCCCCGAGAGTTAGCTCTGAAAACTTGGGAGTTGGAAACAGCACTGATTCATTTGCTCAGTGCCCATGGGGCTGCCATGAGTCAGAATAAACACAATGGCTGTTGGTTAAAGTGCTTTCCGAGGCACCAGACCCTTCCCTGCAGGAGATGGCCGCAGTCCCCAGCCTGAGTGAGGCACATCCACTGACCAGGGCAACCCCAAGGGACAGGGAGCCTCCCTGCAAGGTTCCTGTAGAGGAAATGGACTCTAAGCAACGTGGAGACCTGGGGCGGGAAGAGAAGGGGGGCTCTGCAGGCATTTGATGGGGCGAGGCTGGGGCAAAAGGGCCAGTCCTGCTGGGCCTGACTCACTCCCTAGCAGGTTGTTGTGCCGTTGCTGTGTGTTGTTGAGTTGGACCCGATTCAGAGCTGACCCTCCAGCGGGTATTGAGAGGCAGTTACGTGCAGGAGAGATTGCCTTTCCTCTCGTGGAGCACCTGGTGGATTCAAACCAGCCACCTTTGGGATTGCAGTGCAGCATCTTACTTTATGTTCCAGGCCTTTCTGGTTTGTGGATATGGGGCTGCCTCCTCCCCCTCCTCCTCCGTCTGTTCTGTCATCATAGGTCCTCACACAGCCCCCCAAGGTCGGCTGCCTCCTCTGACCTTCCTTTCCCCACCCCTCAAGGTCGGCTGCCTCCTCTGACATTCCTGTCCTCCTGTCTGTCCTGCCACTTGAGCCCCACACAGAGCCCCTTAAGGTCAGCTGCCTCCTCTGACCTTCCTCTCCTCCTCCGTCACACACAGAGCTGCTCAAGGTTGGGTGAGGTAGTGGCCTCCAGGCTCAGCCGCCCCTGGGACAGCTGTGCTCCCAGCCTTTGGTACTGAAGTTGCAAACAAGCAACTTGAGACCATTAATTGGGCAGGAGTGTGCTGCCAGGGATGTCAAAACAGGTGCGCTCTCCTGGTTCACCTCCCCGTCAGAGCAGGACCACCGCGGTCATGCTCAGCAATCCGCCAAACTGCTCAGGGTCCAGTGTCACAGAGATGGGCGGGGTGCTCATTGTAAAGAGCGTGCTCTGCCTTCATCTTCGGCCTCTTTTTCGTCTCCTCTTCATGTTCGTCCTGACCTCACATTTGTCGTCCTAATCTTGCAAGTTCCCTGAAGTCTGCCTTTTGTCCATTGAACCTTTTCTCAAAATCCTCATGCATCCTAGGACATTTTGAGCAGGCGACCTGTTCCCTTTTGTTGAGGGAGGGACGCTGGCTCTAGTTTTTGCTTGGTCAGTGACGTCCACCAGATTCCGTAATGGCAAGAACTGTAATTTGTGACTTCCATAGCCCTTGGAAGAAAGGCCTGGGTATTTGCTTTTGAAAGATCTCAGCCTACACAAACTGAATTGGAATCACTGAGTGAGAAACGCATTTGCTCTGCAAAATCTCACCTAAATCCCAGTAAAAAGCCCTTTAGAGTTTGCGATCCCAAGCCCTTGGCTTGTGGAAGGCTGAGGGATGAGCCGTAGGTGAGTTCTGGAACTTGACATACGCTCAGGTGCCCTTTGCGTTCTTTCTGGCCATTACCTGCCATGCAGCTTTGCCCTCGGAGAATGTGCAGCTGGAAGTTGGATCACGGTCACCGGATAGCACAGGGAGGAGCGGTGGCTTGTCCAGTATGACCTTGACAATTCCCAGGAGTCATAGCTCTGAACGCTGTGAAGCCAGGTGGAGTGGGGGAACCCGTGAACCAATCCTATAAGTTTTCCATTTGCAGTTGTGTCTTTGTCTCAATCATTATATTTTGTCCACTAGGGTAGGCACACCTGTAACAGTGCTCAGAATCTTATGACTGAAAGCGGTGGCCCTGACTTTGTGAAAAACCTTTAGTGCCATTGTTGAAAGTTGTTCCTCATTCTAACATAAGTCATGTCAGTCTTTGTCCTGTTAATGTCTCGATAAAAGATACTGAAAATACTCTCCCCCCCCCCCCAGGCATCCTTTGAGCAGATTTGCCATGGTGCCAGCTCAGGATGGTAACTTTTGGACCAGGATGTGGGTCACAATGGAGGACCCATTGTCGCATAGAATGTGCAAATCCTTCTGCTTTTTATTAACCTGATTTGCAGTGTTGGTTTCCCAATTAGGTTTCATGGCTTCTGAGTAACAACCATACAACACTGTGCTTTGCAGTGGTAATACTGTTGCTGGAAGTGTTGTTTTCATCACCACTATCATAATTGACCTTTGAGAACACTGCAAGTTAGCACTGTCTCAATCTGGAAGTAACTCCAGGGCACAGTGCTGGCCATACTGAAGTCGAAGCTGAATCAGTCGAGGTGCAGATGGGCACCAGTTGCTGTAAGCTTTATTAAACCGGGATGTCTTTGATCCTTTGGACTTCTTAAACTCTCTTGAGAATGTTTAAGTAAAAATTAGCTTTGGCTTTTAAAAGAAAAAAAAAGATAGCGTATAGACTATTTTCTTATTTGGCGCATGTGTTTCAAATCTACCAGCTGCTCCACAGGAGATGAATGGACACTCCTCCTGTGTGATATGTTGTTGTTGTTGTTATGTGCCGTCGAGTCGCCTGCGACTCATAGCGACCCTGTGTACAACAGCCCTAAACTCCGCTCTGTCCTGTGCCAATCGCACTGTCTCCAACACTCCCATCCCAATTATCCCAGTCACTGAATCAATCCACTTCATAGAGGGCCTTCCTCTCCTGCGCTGTCCCTCCACCCTCCCAAGCATGATGTCCCTCTCTAAGGACCAGTCTCTCCTCACAACATGTCCAAAGTATGTTAGACGGAGCCTCAGAATCCTTGCTTCCAAGGAGCCACCCGGTTTAACCCTTTCCAGGACAAATCTGTTTGTTTTCCTAGCAGTCCATGGTATTCTCAGTACTCTTCTCCAGCACCACAGCTCAAAGGCATCAATTCTCCTTCTGTCCTCCCTGGTCATTGTCCAACTCTCTGATGCATGTGATATACTCCCCCTAAAAACCTGCAGGAGGGTCAGCTGTGGGTCAGTTCTGACTTGACAGCCTACAACAGCAATAACAACAACAGTGGCATGGTAGGGAGCTCTTGTGGCCTAGTGGTAAGAAGCTGCACTGCAATCCCAAAGACACGTGGTTTGAATCCACCAGGTGCTACACAGGAGGATGGGCAGTCTCCTCCCAGGTGATTTGCTGCCTCTGAAAGCCCACTGGAGGGTCAGCAATGGATCGAGTCCAACTTAACTGCACACAGCAACAACAGTGGCAGTGTTAAGTGTTGGGCTGCAAACCTAAAAGGTCATCAGTTCAAACCTACCACCTCAGGAGTCTGATGGAGGGTTGCCATGACCCGGAATGAACTCAACAGCCCAGGGTATTGCCCTGGGAGGAAGGGTCTCCACCAAGGAGACTCTCTGGTGCCGAGTTCTGTGCTGAGACGTGCAGGAGGGGCACCCAGCTTGCCAGTCAGCTGCCTTCCTAGTTTCTGTTTTGTGTGTCCTGGTGTCCCAGGTGAGGCCAGGCACTCAGCTCCAGGTGCATCACCTAGTCTAACTCCGCTTTCTTACTTGATAATGCTAGTCAAACAACTTGTGAAATGTGCAAACACTGTAAAACTAATCTGTTTATAATCATATTGCATTTCCATTTCTCTCTACGGTTTCTCCCCAGCACGCCCTTCCGCTTCCTGGTTTCATCTTCTTGGCTTCGGATATCTATGAGCACGCGATTCGGTTCAGTGAATCTGGTGAGTCTGTGGTTAGGGGCTGAAGTGCCCGGACCTTACCCAGGCCTGTCCCTCCCTGAGTCTGTCCCCCACCTCTCAGGAACTTCAGGCTGCTAATCGGTACAGTTTCCTGGCAGCACAGTCTGTCGCAGACACTTGGTCATTTACAGTTGAAAGAAGAGTATCTTCAGCTTTGTTGTTCAGCCTTGGAGCTTGGTGTTTGCATTCAAATGAAGAACGTTTGCTCTTTCCAGAATGCAAACAAAGCAGGAATGACTCATGGAGATGAAAGTCAGAGGGGTCAGCCTCAGGCCAGCTCTCTGCTTCCCCTTCTGTGCCACGTGTCACCTGCACCCAGGTCTTGCAACATCTGATCCTAGGGGCAGGAAGGGACAGGGAGCGAAATTGCTTTTCAGGCATCTTGTTGTTTTGTTTCTTTTTTCTTTTTGCATTTTTTAAAAATTAAATTTTAATGGAAGTTTATAGAGACTTTGGATTTCCATTCATACCTTGTTCCTCACTTTCCTCCCTACCCAGCCCTCCCCCCAGTGCACTTTTCTCTTTGAAGAAAAAAAATATTCTAGGGGAGCTCTGGTGGCCTGGTGGTAAGGAGCTGCAACTACAATCCCAGAGGTGCACGGTTCGAATCCACCAGATGCTCTGCCAGGGAAGGAGAGACAATCTCCTCCTGTACCAGTCAGATCTGATTTGATGGTACACTCACACAAAAATAATAATTTAAAAAAATTTTTTTAAAAAAAAAGTAAAAAATATTCTTTCATTGTTATACAATCCTCCTACCCCAAGTCCACTTTCTGTGTAGCTTTTATAATGGACTTTTGCCATGACAGTAATACCTAATCATAGAATGACAGTAATACCTAATCATAGATTTCTTTTAAACAGTTCTCTCCCTGATCTGTTTCAATGAAGAATAATTTTTTATTATTATTATTAAATTTTATTAGTTTCAATGAACATTCACAGGGATTCTGGGCTTTCACTCCTTCATTGCCGCACCATTCTCTCCACCCTCCTCCCCAGTTTGTTCTTCTTCCCCGCCATCCGAATGCCACAGTGCTTGTCAAAG